TATGGCTCAAAAGCCATGCCCCTAAGGTCTGGATCATCAAACAATGGATTCTCAACATTCATCCATTCCTCATCACTTTATGCCAATGAGAAGAAGCTCTGCCAAACAAGGGAAATGGGGTGGAAAAGTGATTGAAACTCTGCCTGTGCTTAGATGGCAGATGATTTCTTTGTACAGCAATAGATGACTCCAAAATTCTGCCTACTTTTAAGAAAGAGGTGGTGGAATGGATAGCATGGATTGGAAGGATCAATGGCCTTGTCAAGCATCAATGGAGGCCATGCAGGTGATTGAGTGTCAGGCACAGAGGTTGGAGAGGCACAATCAGATGGTATTGGGCTATTGCCACTCAGGAAATTGGTGATTGAGGTTGATACCAGTCAGTTCTCCTAAGTATGGCAGCACAATAGAATTAGCACTGAAGAGTTGAGCAGAGCCAGGTCTGGTGGATGGATTTGATTACTGGCAGATTAGGTCATTTGATATCAACCAGAATCTTAATCCAGCTGCTGATTGAAACTTGTCTAAAGCTTTCTGGTGGACACTGCTTTGACCTGACAATTCATCATTGTAAGTCGTATTTTGATAGATGAGGAGACAGATCTCAGCAGTCTCATCATTTAGGTGCTTGGTCTCAATACCTATATAGTTCCACCAATCACAGCCATATTAATGTACAACTTGACCTGGATGGGTGGGAACTGTCCAGGCCTCAAAGGACTCCCAGACTTCTTGGAGAATGTCATCTTTCTCCTCCAGAGTGTACTAACAGCTCAGACACATAATGAGGTCTGGAATGCTGCTACACCCAGATATAGGAGAATATAATTCTGGCCCAGATATCAGATAAACTCCATTGCAATCCAAGACATCTTACCAATTCTTTATCCAGGTGTTGTAACAGACCAAACAATAGCAATGGACTGTAAGATCCTCTAGTGTTGTCCCTGTGCTCAGCTCACTTTGCTCAATCACTGCCCAACTCTTGGCTGCTCCTATGCTCCCTTGACTCTTGCTCCTTTCCTTGCCTGCTCTTGCCAGGTTTACCTGCAGAGTGATCATCCTTTTACAGAAACAGAGGTTACTAATGGATACAGAGCCACTATAGTGTGAAAGATAGAACTAGACTAAAAACTTCAAAATCTGCCCACAAGCAAAGATGAGGAAATGATTGATGATATGTTAATAAGCCACAACATTGGTCCAAACTGGGATTCACTAGTAGGGCCCATTATTTAGTACAAGTCTTGCCATAAACTTACAAACATTGTCATAAAACATGTGTATGTCTTCTATAAAGACCATACACTTTCTTCTACTATCTTTTTGGCTTCAATCAATCTTGTGTGGCATTTATTCTATTCATCCCCTGCTGTTTCCAGGCTACAAGAGCACTGTCCTGTTGTAGATGACAACATTGGCATCTCTCACACCAATACCAATACACAATGCCATCAGGCCTTGACAGATTTCCCATTGTTGTTGAATGACTCAAAGCTTTCATCAATGATTCTGTCATTGTTATTTTCACATGTACCAATTTAGGTCCAACCTATGCAACTACTCATTTCATGTGAAACAGATGATTGATCTATAATTCATGATCAAACATCAATTGATCTATTGATAGCATTAGTGCATGAAATGCAATCTTGAGTCAGAGTTACTGTCATGTGTAAATTGCAGTCATTTTCTCTGTAGCATTTCCTTGCCTATGATCAAACTTCCAAGACATCTCAGTTGATATATTATTTGAAGTTTTGCATTCTTGATTGAAGCATTGCTTAGGAATGAAACATGATGCAAAATTGCATTTCCTGCTTCTGAATCTCCCTCAATGAAAACAAGATGTTGAAATCCCTCCTAACTCCACATGGACATATGTAACTACAATAAAAAACTAACCTGTACAAGTACCATTCTTCTTGGCTCAATGGAATCAGTGCCCATTGTGAACCATTGAATTGAGCTCCCCAGTTCTATCTTACATTTACAATGGGGTACCAGCCTCAGTTTGATGCCATTAAGCAACATGGAGTCCAGTCCAATCATGCCAGTAAACACATAAACAATCCCTTCCACTGTTGGTTACCAATCAGTTGATCACTGCAATGTACATTTGACTTTTACCCCCAGTCTGAACAGTTTGTAGGCTTGTTACATGATTTATAATGTACTCAAGAAAATCACTGGTAAAGTAAAACCCATCAAGGACCTGAAAAAATCAGTTGAGGCATAATTTTGTAAGGTCCTTGGATACTTACAATTTTTTGTCCTGATTGTTATGATAAGATAATGATGAAATAGTATGTTGGCTCAACTTCCTTGATCCAGAATCATTGGAGCACAAAGGTAGTAGAAAATCTAACCTCCAATGATCTGATGGACTTGTTGGGTGATTGGGGGGTTAAGAGATTTTTTGATAATGAAAGTGGCTTTGGTTGCTGAACCTTTGCGCAAGGAGCCATCCATGCCCTCAAAACAAAGGGGTACCTGAACCAGGAGCGGAAGAGTCCTGTGTGGCAGAGGTGGAGTCCGTTACAAAGACCACCCACCACCTGTAATTACTGCCTATGACAAGTAACAGCACAATACATATAAGTACGATGTTCATAACAAAATGCATTGCCAAAGGCCCACCTGTCCTAGAGAAAGTACAAGCTACCCGACATCCTTTTCCACCACCTCTCCTGCTTGAAGTAGGGTCCGCAAATGAAAGGGATCAACTGCTTCCAAAACAAATCATTCGTCCCACTAATGTGTTCCATCTTATTCTGGAACTGCATGGTTGTATATTCAAACCAGACTGGATAATATCCTGCCCAAGCCCAATCAATCATCCAAAGGCGACCGTCTTTGTCGATAATCATGTTGCGGAGGTTGAGGTCCTGGTGAGTCAGTACGAGTGGTTCAGAATCATCAAAATGTTCCTTCCTTTGAAGGTCATCTTCAGGAGTACCTGCCATCTTTGCTGCCAGTTGGTGCCGTTCATTAAAGAATCCCGAAAGCTCACTATAGGACGCGAATGGACCACGGTCAGACAGCACGGTACCAAACATAGGTGATTCGCAGATCCGAGGTCCCTGTATACTGAGTGGACCGGGTGGCGTTGTCGCAGATGCTTTTAGACCACGCAGCTGACGGACGTAGCGACGCAACGTAAAAGCAATGCAAATTTTTTTCCAGTTTGAAAGGGTTGGCCAAGCTTGAGCTAAGGTTTGACCTGGAAATATGATCCAGAACAATGCAATGGAAGACATGACTTGGTTGCAACAGGCCGTGAACATACCAGGAATGTAATCCATGAAGATCCAAAAGTAGCCGCCCAAGGCTATGACACGACGTACCCGTGGGACGGGGATAGTTGTTTCTGCAAACAGAAGGTTAAGTACATTCGCTTCTGTTGCATCAGCGTTGCACCCGTCTAGGTCCAGATCTTGGCATCTCTTGACGACTGTGTGAGGCGTTGGTCTGCGAATGTCCCCGCAGAGATGGGATGTATCCTCCGAAGGGATGAGTTGAGGGGCGGCACCTAGGAGATCGAGAAGCGCGTCATCGCTAAGGTGGTCGATATCCGACTGCCAGCAACTTCAAGTTGGATATGAGCAAGGTCTAAAAACCTACTTACAGGGATGTTCCTTTGTGGCCTTCTGTCAGGCTTCACATATGTCAGGATAAGGTCCAATGCATCTGCTATCGCCCCAAGAGATACGTAAAACAACCACTTAGTATCCATTAGGAGATGGGAAAGAAGATGACTTCGAAAATTATTTGGGACCCCGTGCATGACCAAAGAAGTGTGGCAAGAACCAATTGGATGCGGTGAAAGAAGGATTCTCACACAGCCACAATCACAAAAGGAAGTTTAGTTTTAAAAGTGCAAAGAACTCCATGAGGAACTTGGGTTGTAATTACATATAACTTCATCTCGGGGTGCATAAACAAGCATTACGGTAGGTTGTGGCGGACGTTTGTCTGCCTGGTATGTCGTAAGTTTCCGTTCAAGGCTCCGAATAATTCAAAGATATCCCTTGCGTCCTTGTGGCTCTAACTTTAAATTTTCGTTCCTGACCAGTATAGGCTGTGCGACGACGCCATATGGTCATCTATGACATCGCTGCTAATGGACGTCTGGGGCAGAACGTAGCCTTCATGGCTGAAGTAGTCAATTACTTCCATCGATGACAGTATCGAACGGTCCGGTATTGCGGATGCATTCTTTAAGGGACACCTACGACATCAAGTCTTCTGTGTCGAGGCTTTATCAGATGCATTGTTGCGCCATGGTTTCATTTGTCTCCCCTCCCTTGACCACTTTATTCCGATTGGCTTGAACAACAACGGTACCGGTGCCTCGACGTTCAAACGTTCAACGTTCAACGTTCAATCCTTATAGTGTCATTCAGACACATTCTCAGGTTCTGCGTCATTTATCTTTTGTTCTATGTTGCTCGCCACAAATATGCTAGCTTTGATGTCTTTCCCTGAAACCTGCTACTCACCTAGCGGAGAGCGGAGAGGATTGATGTCTCCATCTAGTGTACTCATAAGTCAACACAGCTGAGGCTGCTGCCAAGTCCAGCTCAGTCCAGCCCAGCTCAGAAAAATGAGAATTATATATAATTCGACACTTGACAATGAGTCGACCCAGGCTCGAACTGGGGGGTTTCTGTCAGTTCATAACGAAGTCTGCCATATACTCTAGATTGAGACACATGCGATCTGGGTATGCCGTCGACTCGTTCATGAGACTGGATGCTGGTGGTTGATATATCGATATCGATATCGATAGGTATTTATTCGGGGGGCGTGTGGACAGAAGACAGAATCAAAGATATGGTGATTGTATCGAACTACCTCTGTGTCTACTTCTGGCATGTATTGATGGATGTAAGGTATCGGGGACAAGTGGACCAAAAGATCTGATTTTGAAGTCTACTCTTAGGGATTTGTAGACCAGACAAACCAAAAGTGCTTTGCTTGCTTATCTGAAGCCGCTGTAAGTCGACCCAGGTTTGAACTGGGGGCCTTCTGTGAACAAATACAAGAATTGCAAATTATGTGAGACAGATGCGATAACCAGCTTCGCCATCGACCCATAAGTCCTTCAATTCAGCTCAAACGAAAAGTTTTCACAAAGCCATCGAAACTGCTTCCAGACAGATGTCACGTCATCGACCCATTCTTTACCTAACCCATTTCCTAGCTAGAACAATGTGGATCAAGAACTACATATGCCCGTATCGTATGGCCGTTGGCACTTCTGATCTACATGTACCGGCTCCGGACAAGGTCATTGGGGTACTGATGCGAAATGTAAGTTTGATGCCGTCAATGATGTGATCAACTTATCAAACTTTCTATTCACAGTTTGTTTGGGAGGCTTTTAGTTACACGCCAACTCAAGTAGACTTTCAATAGAAAAGTATTTTAATATTCTTAATGATTTTATTCCAAGGTTGAGACGGTCTCGCACTAAGGAATGGGCTCAATAGTATATTTACTGGTCCCGAAGCCACTAATAACTCTTAAGCCTAAGAATTCCGCTCCCTGGGGAATTCCGAGCCGTGGTACGTAGTCTGCTTGCCTTTCTCCCTATTTTCCCGTTCCTTTTATACTTCGCTATTCGTGCACGGACCAGTGCGTTCCGCGTGGTTTTGGGCTGCGATAATCGGTCTCCGTGTCATCTCTCTTGTGTCATTCCGTCCATCCGTGATTTTTATTTTATCCCTTTCTTCCCGCCCCTTCTCTTCTAATTGTTTTTCGGTTGTCTTTCGGAACTTGACAGCGTAGCGTAGAAATTTTCAAAATATACGCGTTGCGGTAGGTGCTTAATCGTTTGGAATTTGTTTCGCAGTTCATTGCAGAGTTTCGTCGGCTTTGATGGCTGATCTCGGATCGTGATCCGAGCATCTCGGCCCGAGCACTGCCACAGACTTGCCTCTTTGTCAGTCTGACGTATTTCCTTTGGGCTAGTCGTCTTTTTCGTGTTACGAGGGGGGTAGTACTTTTTGGTTTCTAAGGTATGTTTTCACGTCTACAGTTTTCGACGTTCGGCTTACAGTTTTCAGCCGTCTGATTGTAGAAAACATCCCTTATTTCCGTTTTCAAGTACTCTTTGTCGGACCTCAGTTCTGAGGCCGGCGTATCAGTACCAATGTAGAAGCTGAAGCTCTAACTTCAAGTGTCTTCGTTCACGCTCTAACGATTCCCCGAGATCCAGGCTGAACCTCTTTAATGCGAGAATCCCGCCTAGAACACTTTCTTTACTTGTTGAGAGAGAGGACCGGCTAATCATTGCGAAACTAGTGTCGTGTCGATAATGAAGTGCAATAAACAGTACGTGCGCTGCTCTGAGGTCGGGGCGTATGGTAGCTTGATACAGAGAATGCTCCAATAGTCGGTTCGTATTTACCAACAAGCTAAAAGGAGACGACAATGACGTCTAGTCTCCATATCTGTGGTTAATTGAACCCCGCCGAGCTCAAGCATCTCTTTAACTAGTTCCATCAAATGCTCAAATAATCGATTTTATCAACCTGCTCAAGCAAAAACTACTCATTGGCTCGCTGGCACTTCAACCAAATGTCATCGGTGCACCATCCAAGTTATTCCTCCATATGTGCTCGTCGGCGATCCTTCATGCTCGTATACCAACTTCAACTTGTACTTCTCTATCCCCCAATAGCACTCTTCCCGTCAAGTCTCCAAAGTTCCCAAAGGTAAAGATGCACAACGATGACACTTACTCGCTCTTTGTGCTGAACTGCTTAAACTCTGCTCATCTCCTGAGCTGTCACTACTGTGCTTACTCTGTGAATCGCTGGTTTGATACCTGCCAAGATATTCCAAACATTCTGACGACGCAGTGTCACTTGTATGTATGAGAAAAATGTTCTATCAGTGATGTTATCAACTAGTAAAAATGAACCTGCTCAATGTCGCTGACAGTGGTATCCGCTTCCGAATGCTACGGGCCGCTCGCGCTCTATCAAAAGTTATCAGTGCACTGACCGACTTGTCCCTCCGTCTGTGTTTTGATGGAACTCAAGCTCAGGCTCTACAAATTCAGCATAAATCGTCCATTTCAGTGTAGTCGAATTTAAATGTTGAATCGGTGTTGATAAGCAATGATATCGAGCATACTTTACCCAACTTCTTACGTCTGGACGTCACTCGTAATAGAAATGCTCCAATAGTCTATTCTATCGACCAGCAAAGTACTAGACCTGAACAAGGAGAGAGCTCATCAAGCATCCATGGTATACTGTTGTCAATGGCTAACGAAGAACCGCGTGCTATAGGCTTTTTGGCTTGTAGAGTAACCATTCTGACGACATTGCTCGCTTTCTCAGAAAGGATCTTTCCGATTGACTGAAAGTTCGGGAGATTACTATTGACGCGAGCTCGTCGTGGTCCTACCTGGCGTTGGTCTGGCAACATATCGAATCGCCTCTTCAGTTCAGTAGCTTGATCAGATTCAACTTTTTGGGTCATGTTCTACTAAAGCCGTACGCTACTTTGTGTGTTCCACTGAATTCTGCGTCATTCTCTTCCTCAGCATCTGACATCTCGGTATATCTTCGTGCAAGCTGTATGTCTCTCATTTTGTTGGATTTTTCAGTCATTGCAGAGACAACCAACACCTGGTCACAGACCAATCAAGGGCAGGTTGGTTTTGGTCTACCATTTGATCTACAAGACCTTGAACGGCCGGAAATTGTTATTATACCTACTGCGCTTATGACAGGGAATATTGCGCCTATGACAGGTAACAGCGCAGGACATAAAATGAGTACAAGATTCATAACAACGTGCACCACTGAAGTCCCACCCGTCCTAACGAAAGTACAAGCTCCTTGCCATCCTTTTCCACCACCTCTCCTGCTTGAAGTAGGGTCCGCAAATGAAAGGGATCAACTGCTTCCAAAACAAATCATTCGTCCCACTAATGTGTTCCATCTTATTCTGGAACTGCATGGTTGTATACTCAAACCAGACCGGATAATATCCTGCCCAAGCCCAATCGATGATCCAAAGGCGACCGTCTTTGTCAATGATCATGTTGCGGAGGTTGAGGTCCTGGTGAGTCAGTACGAGTGGTTCAGAATCATCAAAATGTTCCTTCCTGTGAGGGTCATCTTCAGGAGTACCTATCAACCTTTCTGCCACTTGGTGCCGTTCATTGAAGAATCCTGAAAGCTCGGTATAGGATGCGAATGGACCGCGGTGAGAGCGCACGGTACCAAACATAGGTGATTCGCAGAACCGAGGTCCTTGTATACTAGGTGGACCGGGTGGCGTTGTCACAGATGCTTTCAGACCGCGCAGCTGACGGACGTAGCGACGCAACGTAAAAGCAATACAAATTTTTTTCCAGGCTGAAAGGGTTGGCCAAGCTTGAGCTAAGGTTTGACCTTAAAATATGATCCAGAACAATGCAATGGAAGACATGACTTGGTTGCAACAGGCCGTGAACATACCAGGAATGTAATCCATGAAGATCCAGAAGACGCCGCCATCCAATAAGACACGACGTACCCGTGGGACGGGGATGGTCGTCTCTGCAAACAGAAGGTTAAGTACATTTGCTTCTATTGCATCAGCGTTGGGCCCGTCTATTTCCACATCGATGCATCTCTTTACGACCGTATTAGGTGTCGTTTTGCGAACGTCCGGGCATCGATGACCAGAAGGGAAGAGTCTGGGGGCATCACATAAGACATCAAGAAGCGCGTCATCGCTAAGGTGGTCAAGGTCCGACTGCTAGCAGCTTCAAGTTGAACATGAGGCTGAAGGCAGGGCTTGAAAGGCCTACTCACAGAGTCCATGCTTGTTTGTGGCCTTTTTTCAGGCATTACATATGTCAGGACAAGGTCCAAAGCGTCTGCAATCGCCCCAAGAGATACGTAAAACAACCACTTGGTATCCATTAGGAGGTGGGAAAGAAATGACTTCAAAAATTATTTGGGACCAAAGAAGCGTGGCAAGAACCAATTGGATGCAGTGAAAGAAGGATTCTCACACAGCCACAATCACAAAAGAAAGTTTGGTTATAAAAGTGCAAGGAACTAGGGCTGGAATTACATATAACTTCATCTCGGGCGCATAAACAAGCGTTGCGGCAGGTTGAGGCGGACATTTGTAGCTGCCTGGTACGTCGTAAGCTTCCGTTCAAGGCTCCGAATAATTCAAAGATATCCCTTGCGTCCTTGTGGCCCTAACTTTCAATCTTTGTTCCTTGCGAGTCTATGCTGTGCGATGACGCCATATGGTCGTCTATGACATTGCCGCTGATGGACGTCTGGGCAGAACGTAGCTTTCAACTGTCTTCATGGCTGAAGCAGTCAATTACTTCCATCGATGACGGTATCGAACAGTCCGGTATTGCGAATCTAAGAGATACCTACGACATCAAGTCTTCTGTGTCGAGGCTTTATCAGACGCATTGTCGCGCCATGGTCCCATTCGTCTCTCCTCCCTCGATCACTTTCTTCCGATTGGCTTTGACAACAACGGTATCGGTGCCTTGACGTTCAAACGTTCAACGTTCAACCCTTGTAGTGTCATTCAGCTACATTCTCAGGTTTTCCGTCATTTATCTTTTGTTCTATGTTGCTCGCCACAAATATGCTAGCCTTGATGTCTTTCTCTGAAGCCTGCTACTCATCTAGCGGAGAGCGGAGATGATTGATGTCTTTATCTAGTGTACTCGTAAGTAAACACAGCTGAGGCTGCTGCCAAGTCCAGCCCAGCCCAGCCCAGAAAAATGAGAATTATATATGATTCGACACTTGACAATGAGTCGGTCGACCCAGTCTCGAACTGGGGGGTTTCTGTCAGTTCATGATGAAGTCTGCCATATTCCCTAGATTGAGACACATGCGATCTGGGTATGCCGTCGACTCGTTCATGAGACTGGATGCTGGTGGTTGATATATCGATATCGATATCGATAGGTATTTATTTGGGGGGCGTGTGGACAAAAGACAGAAAGAAAGATATGGTGATAGTATCGAAGTACCTCTGTGTCTACTTCTGGTATGTACTGATGGATGAAAGGTATTGGGGACAAGTGGACCAAAAGATCTGATTTTG